TAACCAAACAAGCCATTGCCATAAGCCTCTTGTCAAAGAGGTGGAGGCGACTCTGGCGCACACTATTCACTCTCAACGTTGACGATCTTGGCTTCGGAAGTTTTCAATCCTTCGCTCAGTTTGTAAATAAAGTCCTTATCTTGGGAGATTTACACTTAAAAGGTTCTGTATCTATTTTGGGAAAAATAAATCACTCCTTTACAAGAGGAATCAGTTTTCCGCTCCACCAGATTACGAGTTGGGTTTACGCGGCAATCAATTGCAAAATTGAGAAGCTGGAGCTAATTTTCCCACCCAGCTTTCAAGAATTCAGTTTGCCACCTATCATTTTTGCCTGCAGCACCATTCAGGAATTAAGATTCTCCCGGCTGAGCGTGGAGAATCTTCCCTGTGTTAATTTGCCTTCATTGAAATTGATGTCTTTGTCTATGGTTCACTTTCCTGATTATAAATGTGTGGCAATGCTTCTTTCTGGTTGTCCTCTTCTTGAGAAATTGGTACTCTCACATATAAACATTCTTAATAATGACATTTCAACATTACTCGATGTTGCAAGTCTTCAACATTTGACCTCAGCAGATATTCCTGCTTTTATGATGACCCTGAGAGCTTCTCTGGTGTTAAAAATCTTGGATTATCTCAGGTAAGTAAGAATGATGATTGCGTAAATTTTATATTACTGATCTTTATCTTTTCTCAGAAGCTTTATACTTATTTGACCTTCCTCTCGTAGAAAATATGGTCACCCGTCCCGGATATGCCGACATATCACAGTTTAACTCGCATGAAGTTCTGATGTTATGCCGAAGACTGGTGTAGGATAGTGAAATGTCTCCAGAATTGGCCCAAGCTCCAAAGTCTTTGTATCATTCATGCTCATATTCATGGAGAGAATGATTTGTTGGAACCAATACTTGAAGTTCCTCAAAGTATTTCATCACACTTGAAGACATTCTGCCTTGTAGGCTACCAGGATTGGAACTCGCAGTTTGAAATGGTAAGATTTATTATGAAGGAAGCAAAAGTTTTGAGGTGGATCTCCATTAGCAGCACTTGCTCCGCAAATATGGGAAGGAAGTACCCAACGCTCAAAAGATTATCCTAATGCCCCAGAAGCTCTGAGACTTGCAGTCTTTTGTTTGACTAAATACTCCTCCGATCATTGATATAAGACTTATTTAACTAATTTGATTAGATTAAGAAAGTTAGGTAGATAAGTTAATGATAAAAAATATGATATGTTTTTCCTAAAACATCATAATTATCTTTCCTAATATCTTCTCTCCCTCTTCTACTTGATTATGGTTGAAAGAGTATCTATAAGGGTAATTTAGAAAAAATTGATAAATATAAGAAATAAGAATTATATTTAGAATTAAAATTAACTTAACAGTTAGATTCTATATGAAGAATGGGAGGAGTATATTATGAGACTTGGTACTATTTATTGTCTTACCTTACTGGCTCTCTATGGACCTTCCTTCAATGATGTTAATGCAAGAGTTTTTTTTTTTTTTTTAACCTGGATATCACTATATCGAATGTGCGCGTTCTTTTTATTTTGAATCAATATATATCAAACTTCTTGCTGTTGAAAAGTCATTGGCGCAAGTAAAAAGTTTCGTTGCTAAAGGACATTTTCTACAGCAACTTTAATTTGCATAAGATTTTAGTTTGAATTTTTTAAGAGGTCAACAGCCCAACAAGTTTTCATATTATGAGATTTGGTACTATTTATTGTTCTGCGTTGCTGACTCCCTGGGGACCTTGTTTCAACGATTTTAATGCTTTTTTTTTAAAAACACCTGGAGATGCGTTCTGTTTTATTTTGAATCCATATGTGTCACTGTAAAAAATTGATTTCTATTAGTAACTTGTCACCGCTGAAAAGCTAGTGACCGTGGCTAAAAAGTTTTGCCGCACATTTTCTGCAGCGACTTTGATTAGTATCAGATTTTAATTTGAATTTTCTAATAGGTCAACAGCCCAACAAGTTTTATTTAATTATGCTATCATAGTCATCATCATCTTATATACAATATAATATCAATTAAGGTTTCAAATAATAAAAATGGTCATAGAAGCCAACGTGAAATGAGAAAGTTCAACCTGGGTTAGTTTAGGAATGTAGCCTTAAGTGTTATCTTCATTATATCAAGTTCAATCTGGGTTAGTTTAGGAACGTAGCCATATTGTGGATGCATGTCTGCATGGAAATAACCTCACATCCAGTTTCTTGTATACATTATATGAAGTTTTCTAATTAACATGGCCATATATTATTTTTTTCATGCAAGTTTATAGTTTAATGATAATATGTTAGAAATAAAATACATAACAATGTGTGATTGAAAAACTTGATATAATAGATACAAGAAAATTAACATAAGGAATAGGATAGAAAGGGAAGAGGAGAGGCTGAGCTCCCTTTATTTTTCTTTTCCATTTTGAATTTGATTTGTTTCTTTTTTTTTTTTTCCCCTTGCTATGTATAGGTATCACATAGTCGGGTACTAAATGTAGTTGTGAGGAATGAATCCCTTCCGTTATGTTAGATTCAACTTCGTTGCTATTCATTTCTTTGCTTTTGCTTAACCTTCAAAAGGATTATAGCCTTTTTAATCTGTGCTATTTGTTCATTGGATATATATGATTATAATTGACTGTAATGATAATTTATGTTCTTATCAACGTTGGGCAATTTGCAAAGCCAAGCGTCAATGCTCTCTTTTCGCTTTTGAAAATCATTGTGATTCATCTATATATAAATATAAATAATAACTTTAAGCACTTTTTCCAGTTCATAGATTATACAAGTACTTAAAATCGAAACAACAATATTCCCAGCGAAAAGGTCGACAAAGGAACAGAAAGGAAAAGAAGCTCCAGAATATTCAAGGATATATATAGCTTTGAATGGTCTTTACCCAAGAGTTGGCACTTAATGTTCAAACTAAAAGGCTGTCGTATATGCACTACCTTTTTCTTCTGATATCAGAATAATTACAAGAACAATACTTTAAACATTGCTTACTAACCTTCCCCCATGGCTTTAAAGATATATTTCAAAGGCGTAACGGTGGCAACATTACAAGAAAAAGAAAGCCAAGGTATTTTCTTCAGGATAGAATGGATTAAGGTAAGGAAGTACAACCTAAAAGGATAAAAAGACACAAATGCCCCCTACATACACACATATATAGAGAAGTCAAGAAACCTACGACGGATTTTTGTTAAAGAGGGAGGGAGAAGGTCGCGAAAAGCCAATGCATTATTATTTATATCATAAAGAGAATTGACAAAGCTCCTATAAAGAAGTTCTCATTTACCATTGTGGGGACTGGGATTGAAACTAAGACAATAAAAATTAATATTATCTCCGATCCTAATTAATATAAGACTTCATTTGTAGTTTACCAACCAACATGCCCTTATTTTTAGGACCAGAGTTAATATAGCCGCAATAAAGTTATTGGCTGAAGAAATCTACCAATAGGGAGTGATAAATGGGTTGGGGCCGTACACGTGCATTTTGTATCCTCCTCTTAAGCCACTTCAGAAGAGTGCACCACCTGTGACGGCAGCTCTCGGGACTCCTCCAAAAGTTCAGATCAGACAATGTGCTTGATACTCGCTCCACACAGGACCTCTGTAGTGTCGAGGGAAGGATGCTCGAATCCCGACCAGACACAGTGTTTCTTCATCCGACCAGTACCTATTCTCCCTCGCAGTTGCTTGACCCCCCTTAGGAATGGTCAGATTTTCTACTTGACCCTTGTTCTTAGCAACAACAACTGATAATTGCTTTTTCATATTTCTTTTTCTTAGTTCTTCTTTATTTCTCAGTTTTATGAGTAAGTAACACAGTAGGTTGGATTGTTCCCGCGTGAGAGGTCTGAAAAATGAACATCAGAACACAAAATGAAAATCAGTACAATCAGAGGCGAAGATAGAGAGGAGAGAAAAGGCAATTAAGAGGAAATTAGGGTTTAGGGCGGTCTATTATTAGCACCAAACATCATAGAAACTTGAATCAGCAGTAAAAGATAGATACCTTAGCTGATCTTTGATGGACGTCGTCAATGGCTGAGTAGCTGAACCAAAAGAAACTTGAATTAATAGGTTTGGCTATGGGCCTGACGGGAGGAAGTCTGAATCCAAAGAAACTTATTTAAAGAAAGAAAAGAAGAAGGATGGGCAAAAAGAAATCAATTTTAAGAACATAAGCAAAGGAACGGAATGAGTGAGAGCACGGAGGGAACGGAAGGCGAAGGCGACGGCTGTGAACGGAGGAAAGGAGGCCAGCGGGAACCGAGCAAAAAGATGGATGGCGTTTTCCAGAGCAGAGGAGGGATGGAAAAGCCAAGGGGTGTGGGACGAGGATTGCATGAAGGCAGTGGTGTGCAAGCCAGCCTTTCCTACAAGGACAAGCTGTTGAGTTTGGGGGAATCTAGCTTTCTGGAAATGAACCTGTCCACTGTGGAGGCATTGAACGGATGGAGGGACTATTTTACAAAGCAGAGTGGGAAAGTGATGGAGAATGGAGAGTGCAGAATGATGGAACAAGACACGGGCAATGAAGAGGGGCTAAAGGAACAGGAGGAATCATGGACTGTGACTAGGAAGTTCCCTAAACTGAAGGTTTCCGCGGAGGAGTATGCAGCTTGGTGCAAACCGTATATGAACTCACTGATTGTCAAACTGCTAGGAAAGTCCTTGAGTACCAGATTCATGATACAAAGGATAGAGAGAATGTGGGGAATGAGAAACTCGATTAAAGTTACACCACTTAGCAATGACTACTATATAGTCTCCTTCTCTACAATGACAGATTGTGACTTTGCTTTGCATGAGGGCCCATGGATGATTGCAAATCACTATGTTATGGTACAGCGTTGGTGCCCTAATTTCAATCCTTGGAAGGCATACTTGCAAAAGAAGATAGCGGTTTGGATCTAGATCCCCGACCTACCGGCAGAATTATACATGGTTGAGTCATTATGAAGAATAGGGAATCTCGTTGGAAACCACTTAAGATTGACAGAACCACAACTTTCTCGGATAAAGGAGGCTTTGCGAGAATCTACGTAGAGTTAGACCTGCAAAAGCCCCTTCTTCCGGCCTTTGACCACTTTGGGGAGAATCATGCCATAGAGTACGAGGGATTGCATTTGGTTTGTTTTAACTACGGGACGTATGGTCACCACACAAACCAATGTCTCTTGAAATCACCTACGGAGCCACATAGGAAGCAACAACAGGAAACACTGATGAACCCAACGCCAGAGCCTACTTCCGGTGAAGGAGCGACGCAGGAGCCAGAGAAGGTTACCCAATTAGGAAATAGCAGAACGCAGTGAGGAATATTCAGCCCCCACATGATTGTGCAGCGGGATTTTAGGAAGAGACTGCAACCACTTATTTAACGGGATTGTCCAAATCAACGGAGGCTATTAATGTGGGAAAATCTCTTGGGATCTCAAAACAGAGTGATCAGCCACGTGTTACGGAGGAATCTCCTAGGTCAATAGAGTTGAATGATAGACAGACCGGATCTTTGAGGGCAGTGAGAAGGAGCTTCGGAAAGGAGGCAACCAACAAGTCAGATACGGAGTGGACCTCGGTGGTAACAAAAAAAAGTGTAGGCCATAAAAGAAAGCCACGTGGAAAGGAGAACCTTCACCACATAAAAATTTTAGCCAGGGGTCAGAAGGAGGGAGGAGCTGGGCGGGTGTAGTGGGTTCAAACAATATAGTCTCACCAAACCCATTTGGTTCACTAAGGTCGGAGCTTGAAACCGAACCCATCACAAATGGCAGCATAAGTGGACACGGTGACCATGACTTAGATGAAGCCCAGCACGACCAAGCAGGAACAAGCGAGTCAACATGCCTGGGACTGCTGACACCAGAATCAAGAAGGCCTAAGGAGTGTGACGGGGTGATACTAGACGAACAGATAAAGGAAGGTATGTTGATGGATAAGGCGAGGGACTCCACCTTAGATAAGGAAATGGTTATCTCATGAATTGCTTATTCTGGAATATACGAGGGTCTGGCTCACGTACCTTTCCCTCTCTCATCCGGGACTTGGTCTCCAACCATGGCTTGGACTTTGTGGCGTTGTTTGAAACTCGTTGTGGAGGAAGGAAAGCTCATCAGATTGCTAGCCAGTTAGGATTTCGATATTTTGAAATAGTGGATGCTGATGGTTTTAAAGGAGGAATATGGTGCTGTTGGTCTGAAAAATTTAAAACTGTAGAGGTAGTAGAAACTAATCAACAGTTTATACACCTGAGGCTGGAGAACCATGAACGGCAGAAGTAGGAAATGACCTGTGTATATGCAAGCCCGGTGCCAAAAAAAAGAAAGGTCCTCTGGTACAAGCTACGTAGGATCAAGGAGAACGTGGTGGAGCCTTGGTGCATGGGGGGAGACTTCAACGCCACCCTTCTCTCTTTAGAACGTGTCTCGGCAAGCTCCAATAAAGACCCAGATAAAGATTTCTATAATTTTGTTTTTGAAGAAGAACTGAATGATATGGGATTCATAGGACCAAAGTTCACGTGGAGGAGAACTGGAGTGGAAAGTCACATTGACCGTGTGTTATGCTCGTGTGATTGGCTGACTTCCTTCCCTAATGCAGTCGTCACACACCTACCTTGGTAGAAGTCAGACCACAGGTCGCTATTGCTACAGTTAAATGGCCCTCATGAGACTAAACGTGTACAACAGCCATTCTGCTTCCTGGCTCCTTGGGTACTACATGAGGATTTTAATACTCTTGTGCAGAAGGAATGGTGCTCATCTTCCCCGTGGAATGACACAGTCCAATGCTTCACTGATGCTTGTATCAAGTGGAATGCGCAAGTCTTTAGCAGTATCAATGGCAGGAAGAAGAAGTTCATCTAGCGGCTTAACAGAATCACACGGGCAGAGTCACAATACGGGCTTACGAAGATGCAAGAGGAACTTCAGTACCAACTCTGGAGAGAGCTAGAAGATGTCTTACTCCAAGAGTCCCTCCTTTGGGCCCAAAAAGCATGATGTGATTGGTATATCAATGGAGATAAAAACACTTGTTATTTCCACATCAAAGCAAATGCAAGAAAGAAGAGAAACTTTGTGGGGGCCATCAAGGACACGTCAGGCGAGTGGGTCTACGATAAGGGAAAAATAAAAGCCATTGCCAATGAATTCTTTGCAACTCTATTCAAGGAGGAAGTTACGCACCGCATCCCATTACAATGTTCCTTCAGCTACCCCCCAATAGAAACCAATGACCTCCTTTACTTACAAAGAGCGGTGTCGGATGCGGAAACTACAGAAGCACTTTTCAGCATGGGAGCACTCAAGGCACCAGGGCTGGATGGCCTAAATGCTTTGTTCTACTAAAACCAATGGAAGGTAGTAGGAAAATCAGTTTGTGATCTCATACAATATTTGTGGCAAAACTCGACTGAAATCCGGACGATTAACGCGACGTTCATATTGCTCATACCAAAGGTAGAACACCCGAAGGAGCTTAGAGATCTGAGACTAATCAGCCTCTGCAATGTTGTCTTTAAAACTATCACTAAAATCATTGTAAACAGGCTTAAAGCAATTCTCCCGAGCATAATAAGTTCGCAACAGTGCAGTTTTGTACCTGGACGCCACATTTCAGACAATACCGTGGTTGCACAAGAAGTGATTCATTCCATGCGAACCATGCAAGGGAAAAGAGGGTATATGGCCATTAAAATAGATTTGGAAAAAGCTTACGATAGAATCAACTGGAACTTCCTTAAACAGTGCATTAAAGACGCACAAATACCTGAGACGCTAGCAAAAATTATTTACCAATGTGTGGCGACTGTGTCTATGAAACTTCTTTGGAACGGGGAGGTTGCTGGCAAGATACTCCCAACCAGAGGGGTTCGGCAAGGGGACCCCCTCTCCCTATATTTGTTTGTAATATGCATGGAGAGATTGGCCCACCTAATCTAGGAGCGTGTTGCCTCCAAGTCATGGCTGCCGATCAAACTCTGCAAGTCAGGTCCTCCTATCTCCCATCTCTTTTTTGCTGATGATATTATCTTCTTTGGAGAAGCCTCTATAAGACAACCTGAGGAAGTCAGGCAGTGCCTGGACGTGTTCTGTGAGAGCTCTAGCATGAAGGTGAACGCCTGCAAGACTCGAGTGTACTTCTCCGAAAACATACATCACGTGCGTAAGTCTGAGCTGAGTACGGTATTGGGGTTCCAAGCCACAATGAACCTTGGTAAATATCTGGGTATCCCGCTTCTGCACTCTAGAGTTACCAGAGACAGTTTTCAAGACGTGGTGGATAAGGTAAAGCGAAGGTTGACTAGTTGGCAGGCTAACAACCTATCGCTGGCGGGACGTGCGACCCTAGTTACGGCAGTGACGACAGCCATTCCTGGATATACAATGCAGACAGCTTGATTACCGATGGGCACCTGTGAGACAATAGAGAAACGTAATTGTGCATTTGTATAGGGATCCACTTCCGAGAAGCAGAAAGCTCATATGATAAAATGGGAGACCATTTGTCAATCGAAGAAGATGGGGGGCCTCGGCATAAGACACATGCGAAGCCAAAACCAAGCTTTTATGGCCAAGCTCGATTGGAACATGATGCTCAAGAAAGATGACTTATGGGTGAAGGTGATCCGAAGCAAGTATAAGTGTGGCAATGACGTGATCCCGATCATTGATTCAGCTCGACAAGGCTCAAACATCTGGCAGGGGATTAAGAACGCCTGGAAACATGTCGAGGATGGCTACGTGCTAGATCCTGCTAACCTCTCGGTTAAATGGAAATATGAGAAGAGAGGGATGTTCTCGATCGAGAGTGCATATAACGCTATTATTAATACAACACGGGAAAGCGACCCTACATGGCAGAGGATCTGGAAACTCAACACCACGTAACGCTGCAAGATGTTTGTGGTTGGCATACCATAACCGGCTTCTAACTAACGAAGAGAGGGCTAGACGACACGTGAGGACGGACGAACTCTGCACTTGGTGAAAACAGAGTGCCGAGACTACCATCCATGTGCTCTGAGATTGTGAAGAGACAGCAAAGCTTTGGAGGGGCTTAGTTGAACCTTCGTGGCGCCGTGGTTTCTTCCGGACAAACCTAGATGAGTGGATACAGTGGAACATCAGGAACCAAAATGGGTCTAATCACAAGGACGGGAGTAGTCTCTTCTCTACAATCTGTTGGCTTCTATGGAAGAGACGCAACGATAGAGATTTTGAGAATAAACTGATGACAAACGATGCCCTACTCGCACGACCCAACGCCATGGTGTCAACACTCATGCAGGCGCGTTCTCACCTGAAGGGAAGCAATCTCAATGGGCAGCTAGTGACCGACAAACATGAGAGATGGGAGTGCCTGAGCGCTGGCTGGGTGAAGCTCAATACCGATGGAGCCTATTCTAGGAGAAGTGGTATGGGGTGCGGTGGAGTGATAAGAAACGAAGCAGGAGATTTTGTAATGGGTTTCATGCACCATGGTGAGCAGGGAGATTGCTTAAATGCGGAGTTATGGGCTGCTCTCCTCGGTTTAAAAGCTACCTGGGATTTGGGGTACCGACAGGTGATCCTTGAAACTGATGCACGTGAGGTTGTGGATTTGCTCCGGAGTCACATAACGCAAACCCATGACAACACGACACTAATTTCTGAAATTAAGAATCTGATCACAAGAGATTAGGTTGTCCAAGTTCAGCACGTGACTCGCAATGAGAATAAGGCAGCGGATTTTTTAGCGAAACTGGCTTTGAGTAGCTCTATGGGCTTTTTCCCAACATCTACTCCAACCGACGAGTTGAAGGCTCTACTTATGCAGGATTCTCCTAGGCTAGCAGATCATGGGTAGTGCGTTTTAAGAGGTTTCTCCTTCTTGTATCAAAAAAAAAAAAGAAGGATGTGCAAAAAATATCATTAATTAAATAAGATCATAAAAATCTTGATTAATTAATAAGAAGGGCCAAATTTCAAAATTTAAATTTTAAAATACGATATTAAATTAAAATCTCGTACTTTTTCTCACGCATTCAGAATTTTTTTTTTTTTAAATAACAGTTAAAACTGCTCACATCAATACGACTATACCTTTTCTTTTTTTCTTTTTTTTTGCAATACAACTATACCCATTTTTAACTTTTATTTTCCACCAGTATCTATATTCCTATCATCAAGGCATCATTTAGTTATTAATATAGATATTTACTCATAAGTTTTGTCTATCCGATTTATATTATTGATTTAAATAGGGTAAATTTTCTATCTAATACCTTAGTAACTAACATACTAGAATTTTAAAAATGCCCTATTCCCCACAGAATAATAAGATATTATCATCTGTTTATGTTGGGATTTATCATAGATTTTATATTAAAATTTTTATTGGGAATTTTTTTTGGACCGGGTTAAGGACCAAGTGCAACACCCCAAGTTTTTTATTTGTTTGTTTTTATTTTTATGTTTTACAATCTACAAGTGGGGGATGTTTAGAAACCTTAAAAAACACTTAAGAAAATAATTTCATGCAAGCCGAGATAAATGGCCTCATATACTTACACTGAAATCCATAAAATCACTTTTAGAAAACTAGTTCAAATGTACTTGCTGGCACACTAGTCTTCGCCCCTAACTTATGAAACTATCTGCGCGACCCTGTTCTTGTAATTGGCATATTGGGAGATTTAAAACTGCTTAAAAAGTGATTAATTTTCACCAAAGAAAGTGATGAATTAGACATAATCTTAATTAGAATAAAATAAATAAAATATTTTTTAAGTGATAAAAAAAAACATAAATAAGGATAGAAGATAACATTTCGGATACTATTATTATTTTGTTACTTTTTTCAAGAAAAAATACTGTATTAAAAAATTGTAAAGAATTTTATTTAGCTTACTGTAGTATGAATTGATGGATTTATTAGTATCATATGTGATTTGCGATTTGAATCAAATTTTAATTCAAGATTTTTTTTATACGCCAACAAATTTTTCTTGAAGATTATGCGCGCGCGATAATTTAATTCTTTTTTATTTTTTATTTTGAATTTGATTCGTTTCTGTGCTTTTCTTTTACCATCAAAGGATTATTGCCCTTTTTTTTTTTTGCTGAAAAAATATGTTCTGTTTAACCTGTTCATTTGATGTGTGTATGTGTGTGTCTGTAATAGAGATTAATGATGTGTGTTCTCATCAACGATGTGCAATGGCAAAACCAAGTTTGGCTGCTCTCTTCTTTGAGTTCTTTCTTTCTTCTAATTAAGGGCATGGCTTTAATTTCCTACTTGCTTCTACATATAATGCCACTTAATAAATTTCTATGTCTTTCTCCAATTCTATATTTATATATCTTCTTGTACTATTTTTAAGGCTCAAATTAATTATAATAATTTGGAGCTTCAGCTTTGCACAATTATTGCCTTGACTCTTTGATTTTATCAGTTTAGGTGATCTATATTATGCTTTCTATGTCCGTGAGTTCAAATCATCTAAGTTGGACGCTTTCTTCAAAAGATATGCTATCAATGACTGCTAATTAGTATTAATTTGCTTGATGATGATTGATTTGGTCACAAAGATCAATTTTCCTTGATCTGGGTTAATTAATTGAGTCGATTGAAAATTCATTATTTTTTTAATATGCAGTCAATACTTATATTTTAATTGAAAAAATAAATATCTCTCTTTCATTTTTGAAATCATACTGTGATTCAGTATTTGAAATTCTATATATTTGTTATTGTATCTTGTAGCCCTAATCTAATCTCCATTTTCATTCTGTTTTCCTTAGAGCAGGTTAGGGTTAAGGTACAAACAATCCTTTTTCGCCATTTTATTTTATTCTTCAACCTTCTTTTTTTTTTCCCCTCCTTGGTCAATATTGTTCGTTTCAACCTAAATTAATTCAAAGAAGCAGTTGCCACAATTGATCGAAAAAAAGGATCTCTGGATGCCTAAGCTAAAGGTTATTGAAAAGTCAGTGTCCCCAAACAAAAAGCGCAGAACAGAAGCAGAAATGAGGGACGTGATTAGTAATTTGCCAGATTCATTGCTTCTTCATATTCTATCTTTTCTTCCCACTAAACAAGCAGTTTCCACAAGCCTCTTATCCAAGAGATGGAGACCACTTTGGCATTCCCTTTCCAGTTTTGACCTTGAACACCCTAGTAGTGGGTGTCGACTTTTCCATCGATTCATTCGCAAAGTGCTCAAATTGGTAGATTTGAAGCCCGTCAAAAAGTTTGTTCTTCGGATCCAGATTCATCATTATGAACCTTGCAAGTATATTACACCTTCGAAGATTTGCGAGTGGATTAATGCTGTGATTAGTAATAAAATTGATCATTTGGAGCTATATTTGCAGCCGTGGTGGAGCTGTGAGTTGCCCTCTCTTGGTTTTTTCACTGCCAATAACATTAAGGTTTTGAAGTTGAGGGGACTAACAGTGATTAATCTTTCCCATGTTAATTTGCCTTCACTTGAAGTATTGCATTTGGTATATACTAGATTTTCACTTGCCGTAAGCTTGGAAATGCTTATTTCTGCATGTCCATTGCTTAAGGACCTAGTAGTGAGATCTATCCTTTTCGGGCATTATAAACCACTCAACAATATTGGAGGACTTAACCATTTGATCACTGCAGAAATTCCACAATATCTGCTTCCAATGAAAGTTTTGTCAAATGTTACAGTTCTACGCTTAAATAATAATAATGTGCCTTCCTTTTGGGATGCTGTCATAAAGCAGGTATGAATCACGCATCTCATGAAAATTATTTCCCTTTCTCTTTTTTCCCCTTATTCCAATGCCTAATAATTCTTTTTTCCGTACAAGTGCATGTGGCCATTTAGTGATGATATGCCCATGTTTTACAATTTAACCCACCTGGCATGTGTACTTACTGTTGAGTGGACAAAAATGGTGAACTGTCTCCAATACTTCCCCAAGCTTGAGAAGCTTGTAATCTCAGAGTCTTCATTTGATGATGAGGTTTGAAAATTGGAAAGTTATTTTCTGAGTTGCAATATAATACCTTTGGTTATTATTATATGTGTTTAAGACTGAATCTTTTGTGTATGGCCAGGCTGGTATTACGTCCCCTCCTGAACCAGTACTTGATGTCCCTCCATGTGTTTCATTACATCTGAAGGAGATCAATTTTTGTTGCTTCAATGGTTCTGACAATGAACGTGAAATGCTAAATTTTTTAATCAAGAATGCTAGGGTTTTGAGGAGAGTCTCCGTTAAGTGACAATTCAAACAACTGTATTCTCCAAAGATTCCTCGATGTTTTTGTGAGTGCCAAAATTACTTCATTATTTAATGGAAGAACAGGAAGCTAAGGAAAATGTGTGAGAGGACATCTGATTAGAACTTTGGTCGTCTTAAGTCTCATATCTTGGTATCCATATGGTTGTGTTATATATGTTTATTTGGAGCAATTTGAAGTTTTAATTACTTCTGTACTTTTTAAAGGGCGTTTTGCAGATTTTTAAGGATTATTATTTTTTTTTCTTCTAAAATGTCCTTTAGGGTATATTAAAATCACTTGTCTCCCTCTTCATTAATATGTTCTATTTCTTATGTGTTTAAAGAAGGGTAAACTTCATGAACACAGATTTAAATGTTATCTATCCCTTCGTGTTATGCAAAAATTACACGACATACTGAATTTGGCGTTTGAAATCATATCTTATTATCAAGAAACGGTTTGATATACCACCATCAAAACTTCGACTAATTATCGATTAATACCATTAGAAGTCTGTTTTTATGTTGATGCTACTTTGGGTCACTGTGCACCATTATTTAACGTTCTCGAATATGCTCCTTCACATGAAGATCATCATCAAGATATGATAAATTCTGGGTTGAGAGAAATCTACCAAGCCATGGATGAATCTATGCAACAACTGTCTTTGGTTCCAGCATCATCACAGGAAGCTTTGGCCTCGCTCAAGAATAAAAATGCCCAATGAAGAAATAGAGGAAGAGTTATGTACTATCTACTTGGAAAATTTTGATGATGATGATGATGTTTCTGTAACATCGCGTGATCATGTCTATCGTAATGCTGGAAATAAGTTATAAATGTCCGTTGTGTCGCTGTCAGATGTGTAAAGGGTAACGTCATACATTTTTTGTTATAATAAAATTTCATTATTTAGATATTTATTGGCGAAATATTTCCAATTTTTCGCATCTTTTGTGAGTTTTTATCAATTTAATATTGAAATTAGATTCCTATGTTTAATTCAGAGGTTGCTGTGTTTTTTTTTTTTTTTAAGAAAGCACTTGCTATCAATAAACTGTTAATTATATGGTAAATTCGTTATCAACTAAATTTATTATAATTTGCAATTTGCTTTTAAGGTTTTGGAGTTTAATTTGTATTGTGAAGATAAAAAAGTTGTTAACCATTTGAAATTAACTTGCAGTATATATATTTTTTATCATGAGTTTTCTCCACCGAATGTCAAATTTAATGTGATTTACTTAATTTTTTAAAGACTTTTAATAATGATTTGATTATTGTTTTGAGGGGTCCACGAGTCATTTATTATTAGTTCAATATCATAATTTGTTTTTCTGCGGACAAGACCGTAACTTACTTTTTTCTTTCCAAAGAATACCGTATAACGTACATAAATAAAGAATTTATGAAAAGTTAATGCTCTTTAGTTTAATTTTGAAAGTCCTGTAAAATTATTTATGCACCATACAATAATGAAAATTTTAAATCAGTAATTGCATAGTCAATACAAATTGTATAGGTGAAGTTCAAAACTTCCAAGACTATCATTTGATGATTTTCTTTAATTGTTATCGTACTTTGTAACCCTAATATAATCTAATCTTCATTTTCATTCTATTTTCATTAGAGGAGGAGACCTAAGGTCATTACAAAACCAATGTCCAGAAAGTCATGAACATATTATCTATTTTCTTCTAGCCAAACAAGTCATTATGCATCTCCGGTTGTCACTACCCAGTTTTGATTTTAACAAAGCCAACTTTTTCAAAGTCTTGTCTATACTACCAATCACACAAAAAGCTAATACTTAATCACATCAAAATTGAAATGACCATAATTATTGGGGGGAAAAAAACAAAGTTCCTGAACAATTGAACGCTCAAATGCATGCTTTGCAAAGGCCGCAAGGAATTAATTCAGTTCCTATATTTCTATCTTAGTCTGATGCTGATATGAGGAGTCACAACGTATAATTGATTTTAGATGATTTTGTAGTCTCGAATTCCATCTTCAAAATTTTAGATGAAATCTCAAATGCTTGTTCTCATTTGGATGTGTATAATGTTACAATTATCTTTTAACTATTCCCCATGTTCGATTTTATAAGAATTACTAAAATCACGCAGTTCAAAATATATACCCTCCATTTCAAAATATAAGATAAACTTTCTTGGAGGAGCTTAGTTTTTTTCCCCCCCCGTAAAATACATTTTATTTTATATAAGTAGTTAATGAGTTTTATCCAATGTTGCCTCTCATATATTCTCTTTCCTCTTTAATTCATTTATTTATTTTTTCCTTGTTTTTTTCCCATTGATAATGGCATATTTAAAAATTAAAAAAAATGCCTTACATATTGATTATTTTAAACTGATTTTAATTGATTTCTTTATAAATGTAAATCTGTCAAATTTATCTTATATTTTGAACTAGAGGGAGTAGTTAAATTTAATTAAAAGTAATAAATGTGTAATATATATTTCCAATTATATCATTATTTATAAAAAGAGTGCATGAGGAATAAGGAGTGAAAAATTATTGCAGAGATAATAAGTGACATATTTTTAATGGGATGAAAATGGAAAGAAAAATTTAAAATTTCAGATAAGAAGGACTTGTTTCTTATATTTAAAAATACTACTAGCAGAGAGATTATTTTTTATAAAAAAAGAATAGAGGGGGTCGTATTTATTTATTTCTATCTAGGTGAGATAGTTATGTCAGACTTGTGCGTGTGTGCGCGTGTTATGAGTAGTTAAATCAGACTTGTATATGTTAGGAGTAGCAGTAAAGCTAAGTGCTTGTTTGGTTAAGCAGTGATTATGAAACATGTTTATTCTACTTGGGTAATTTTTATGTAATTTTAATGAATCGTGATTTCATTCTTCCATTGTACTTTTAAGATAAGCACTAAGAAGTAGCTTATCCTTTTGAAAAATCCCAATCAATTTTTATCAATTGAATTTTCTCTAATCTACCCTCCTACGCTCTTCCAAAAATCTCTCCTCAAATGATTATTTTAATAATATTTATTAAATTCATGTATTTTTGTAATTATACATCCATAAGTGATTTTAATAAATAAAAATCAAATATAATCACAATTCTTAAAGTCACTTATAAAAAAAATCCAAACAGAAATTACAATAAACCAATATCACTTATAGTCAGCATCACTTAAAATTCACGATAATCTAAAATTATAGTATTTTACCACTAATCCAAACGGGTACTAAGTATTATTTCAAAAGTATTCGTTAGGTCACATTATTCAAATTTTTAATACAAATAAATTTTAAAAAATAAATTAATAAACTTCAATAAAAATACTGATTTTGATGTTTCCATTAGTGAAATTTGATTGAAAAATAAATTCAATAGTATGTGAATGTTTTTATTAAGGACTCTTGGGATATAAGATCAATAGTATGTGATTTTTTTTTTCCCTCGGTGATAATAGTATGTGACATAAATGATTATGTGTGTGTGTGTACCTTTTTTTTTAACTTCTTTGTATAGACGCAGTCAGATTTCATATCCGCGATGGGTCTAAATATCTAATAAAGGGATTTTTTTTTCAGATTAAATATAATATAAATTAACTAGGAAATTTAATTTAATTTAATTTATTTAGATAATCTAAATATTGTGTGTGTGTATATAAGTTACTTTAAAACGTCTAAATTATAATAATATTTATAGATTTAATAGATTTTCAATCCGATTATCCAACATTGTGGATATACCATATATGATAAAGATTTTTTTTTACCATCGGATATATGATAAAGATTTAAATATTATTAAATTATATCATATAAATTATCAAATTGAATGATATGATATCTTAATTTATTGATTGGTGGATACTAGATATCTCCGATAAATATATATATATTTATATTTATATATATAAAAGAACCCGATATCTTGCTCATCCCATAACTCGAGCTTTCTGAGAATCTCTAGCTGCCTTGGACTGTGTGCCCTAACCCGGTAAGTTCCTCTATCTGCTGTGATTTTCTTTGACCATTATATCAAAGATATTCGTGGATTTCGTTTGACCATTTGACTTTATTTGGATTTCTTAATCCTCAATCAATTTGATTGAAAATTTATTATTATATTTTTTTCGTTTTCGAAAATCACCGTGATTAAGTATTTATAATTGTTCCTGGTCATCAGCCTAATCCAATCTTCCTTTTCATTCTCTTTTCCCTAAGTTTATATCAAAACCAATGTCTAAACGTCATGAAAGTAGATTGGGAACAATGGCAAGTGCTCAAATTAGGGACTTACCTGACCCAGTGTTTGAACATATTCTCTCTTTTCTTCCAACCAAACAAGCCATTGCCACATGCCTCTTGTCCAAGAGGTGGAGGCATCTCCGCTTGTCACTTCCCAGTCTGGGCTTTGACGACTTCAACTTTCATAATCTTCACCCTTTCCTTCAGTACGTAGATAGAGTGATGAGCATGAGAGATCATTCAGAAACCCTAAGAAAGTTTCACCTCATTCTCAGATCTGCACGTGGGAACGTGCGACGTATGAAGATTAACACTTGGATTAACACGTCAGTGAATTCCAGAGTTGAACGTGTTGATTATGATGTCGAGATAATAAATCAAGTGCATATAAGCATTTTGGATATATGTTGCTACTGCAATAGCCTTGCTAGCTATATTTTTTGTGACTCCACCCATTTCTTAAAGTATCAACATTAAAGAAAGAAAGTTGGAATAATGGCACCCTATGTTTATTTGTTATTTGAAACCCTCTGGACAATATATAATTTTTCACCTTTAAACATTCATAAGTAATTTGCTTATTCTTTTAAGGTTTACTCTGTTTTTTCTGATCTAAAAAGCGTAGCATTTTTTTTCTATTTTTTTTCAATTTTTGAATTTTAGCTAAAATTATAATTATTTTTAAAATTGATGGTAAACATATTATTTAAATTTCTATCCGTACCATCCATATTTAGTATAAAATATATGGTTGATACGAAATATGAGCACGGTTATTATCACGCGTTAAATTAGCACCAAATCTGATGATTTTGACCCTTGATTACGATATCTAATGATTTTTTATTTGATCACACAGAATAAAGAGACAATATTTCATATTTATGAAAATTTGCATCTGTTTTCTTCCCTCAGAAGCTAATTTCAATCCTCTTTCGTTTGATTATATCACCAAGCTAGGGTTATGGCAAACTCAGTTCCGGAACGCCATGAAAGAGGAAGCGAAATAATACTAAGTGACAGACTTAGCAACTTGTCAGATGATTTGCTTCGACATATTCTCTCTTTTCTTCCAACCAAAGACGCCATTGCCACTAGCCTCTTGTCCAAGAGGTGGATGTCACTGTGGATTGGATTGCCCATTCTTCACTTCGATGATTCAAGCTTTCGTTCTTCTGAATCTTTCTTCCAGTTTGTGGAATGTGCGTTAAAATTCTTCCCCAATTTCAACCACATCCAGATCTTTCGTCTCAAAGGTAGTGGAATAAAGTTTGGCCCTCGACCTGATAAGATTATAAGTTGGGTTAAAGAAGTGATTAATAAGCTCAATGAGCTCCAAGTTGATGAACTTGAGCTTTGTTTTACATCTTGGTCTAGTATTAGGTTGGCCTCCAGCATTTTCAATTGCAGTACATTGAAGGTTTTAAGATTGAAAGATGTAAAAGTGGACACTCTTTCTTCTGTGAATTTGCCCTCCCTTAAGGTTTTGCATTTGGAAAGTGTTATGTTCCTAGAATTTAGATGTTTGGTAATGCTTCTTGCTGGGTGCCCACTTCTTGAGGAATTGAAACTGAGTTCATTTGCTCTATATTATTACAATCAGAAGACAAATGGCATTTATAGTCTTGAACATTATTTGGTCTCATCAAATAATCCTTCCTCGTCATTTCTCGTTACGTTAAAGAAGTTCTGTGTTGATCAATTCAAAGGATTGGGATGTGAGTATGAAGTTGTAAGATTTATTTTGGAGCATGCAAAAGCTTTGAGGGCGATCTCTGTTATTTGTCGTGCAAGCGTGAACTCCTCAATGATGCTCAAAAAGTTATACTCGTTGGCCAGAGGATGTGAGGATTGTAGATTTCTATTTCAAGTTTTGGTTCCTCGTATGAAAAATTGGTCCATTGTTATATTCCAGTCATGTGATCGATCGAGGATAAGTCATTAATAATACTCTGATAAGGAGAGGTTTTGTCTAAGAATTAGAAGCAAGTAGTAGGGTCTTCGTTGTTCCATTTATATATTTTTGTCATATGTTTTGACACTTAATCCTTGAATATCAGTTTTTTTTTTCCGATCATACCTTGAATCTTTGATGTTGTATATTAGCTAAAACCTAAAAGCATGCCTTTGATCATCTAATTTTATTATTTGGTCTCTTTATTTAAAAAATATATATCTTTTTAGTCCTCTAACACACTAATTAACATTCATTTAGTTCCAAATAATTAATTTTTTGGTGACATCCGAATAATTAATTTTTTCAATATACATTGTTATTTTGAAATTTAAATTTCAAGTATATAAGAGAAGTTTGTGTAACGTCTATTTTAATATCAGGGGAAATTTACATATATTTTCAAAATAAAGAAAACTTTCAGTAATTTAAGTAAAATAGAGGGGTAATTAGAGTATTTTACTCTAAGATCAGTAGTAAGTGATTTATTCTTTTTTTTTTTTTGATAATAAAATTTTTGGAAAGGGGTTGGGCTCACCCATGATCCAAGGGCAGGGCGAAATCTCCCTTCCTCCTAGGTCATACCAATGTTGGGGGCAGGGCGAGCCGTCAATTACCCTCAGGCGTTTACCTAGGCACCCAGGAGTTAGGATGTCTCCCCAAGCGCCGCGACTGAAACCACAACAAAGTGGTACTCCCCAGGGATCGAACACATGCCAACTTGGTCATATATCTCACCCTTTCGCCAGCTGAACCCACGGACGATGGGTGTAAGTGATTTATTCTTTTTCTTGGTGATAATAATGTGTGATTTAAATGATTACATGTGTGTGTGCGCACATATATTTTTAACTTCTTTGTAGAGACGCAGTCAGATTTCGGGGGTGTTTGGATAGAAATCAAACCATGGTTTCAGAAGTGCTTTTACGAATTACGAAGTAAATATGTGGAGGAGATTATCTCGTTTTGCGAAAAAATGCTTCTGAAACCATGGTTTCATATCCGTGATGTGTATAACTTACTTTAATACGTCTAAATTATCATCATATTTATAGATTAAATAGATTTTCAATCCGATCATCCAACATTGTGGATATATCATATATGATAAAGATTTATATAATATTAAATTATATCATATAAATTATCAAATTGAATGATATGATATCTTAATTTATTGATTGGTGGATACTAGATATCTCCGATATATCTATATATATATTTATATAGATATAAAAGAACCTGATATCTTACCTATCCCATAACTCGAGCTTTCTGAGAATCTCTAGCTGCCTTGGACTGTGTGCCCTAACCCGGTAAGTTCCTCTATCTGCTGTGATTTTCTTTGACCATTATATCAAAGATATTCGCGGATTTCCTTTGACCATTTGACTTTATTTGGATTCGTTAATCCTTAATCAAGTTGATTGAAAATTTATTACTATCTTTTTTCGTTTCGAAAATCACCGTGATTCATTATTTGAAATTCTATACATAGTATATATACACATATAATTGCTGTAATTGTTCCTGGTCATCAGCCTAATCCAATCTTCCTTCTCATGAAGTCTCTTTTCCTTAAGGTTATTTCAAAACCAATGTCTAAACGTCATGAAAGTAGATTGGGAGCAATGGCAAGTGCTCAAATTAGCGACTTATCGGACCCAGTGTTTGAACATATTCTCTCTTTTCTTCCAACCAATCAAGCCATTACCACATGCCTCTTGTCCAAGAGGTGGAGGCACCTCCGCTTGTCGCTTTCCAGTCTGGACTTTGACGACTTCAACTTTCATAATCTTCACTCTTTCCTTCAGTACGTAGATACAGTGATGAGCATGAGAGATCATTCAGAAATCCTAAGAAAGTTTTATCTCATTCTCAGATCTGCACGTGGGAACGTGCCACGTATGAAGATTAACACTTGGATTAACACGTCAGTGAATTCCAGAGTTGAACATGTTGAGATTTATGATAAACTCTTAACAAGTTCAACATTGAAATACCCTCTTGCATTTTCAACTGCAATAGCATCAGAATTTTAAAGCTGAATGGTGTTAAAGTGACGACTCCTTCTTTTATTCATTTGCCTTCACTTGAAGTCTTGCATTTGAGCAATGTTATATTTCCAAACATCCAAGGCGTTTACAATCTGCTTTGTGGCTGCCCTTTGCTTCAAGACTTGTCACTAAAATACTGCAGCGCAATTCTTATCGATGGGCGTTCGATTGTGCCCATAAAGGAAGGCAGCCTTAGAAATTTGGTGTCTGCTCATGTTTATCGCTATCCATTCACTTTGGAAGAAAGGCTTAAAAATTTGGTGTTAGCTGATGTTTATCGCTATCCATTTACTTTGCGATCTTTGTCTAATGTTACAGCACTGCGGATAGATACGGTAGGATACTATATTCTCTTCCTGAATATAGCTGTTAGACTATTTGTTTCTTTAGTATTTATTATATAATAAGGCATTTGTTAGTTAAAAGTAAAAAAAATTAGGATTTAAAATTAATATTGGAATTATTTTAATTTTATGACAAATTTGTCCATTGTAGTCATTTTTATTGGTATACGTAAATTAGTGGGGACTATATTAAAAATATTAATTGAGTTAATTCCTGTTAATCATTTTCATTAAAAATACCCCCTCATGGAAAACCCCTATGTAGAATGAATAAGGAGAGTTTAGGATAAGAATTATAAATTTGGGAGGTAGACTATATTAAAATCTTACATTTAGGAACAAAATAAACCCTTTCATTGGTTCTTGGTTTAGAACCCGAGATTTCTGACTATAAGTAAATTAATATTATTGCTTTTCATTCTTAATTAGATTTGATAATTAATTTTTTTTCCTTGTTGGTTCTCGCTCTTGCAGATTGGTTTTTCATCTCCCCTTGATATTCCAAAATTTTATAACTTAACCCACATGGAAATAAGATGTTGTCCAGGTGTCTCAGGCACAACATTATTGGAATGCTTGCGAAATTGCCCCAAGCTTGAAACTCTTAAAATTGATGAGGTTTGGATTTGTCAACTTAATATATGTGTTTGCATTGCCATTTGATTATGAGTTAGTTTTCTTTCTTTTTTTTTCCTGATAAAGTTAAGAGTTAGTTTTCTAACTATATTATATATACCCTTGGCTCAGTTTAATTCTAAGGAACCGTCGGGAAATAATGTTCCTCAATGTGTTTCATCAAACTTGAAGGAGTTTCATCTTGGAAACTACAGAGGCCTCCACAATGAGTTTGAACTTGCAAGATTTATTATGGAGGAGGCAAGGGTTTTGAAGATCATCTCAATTCGTACTAACTCGAAAGCAAATTCAGAACAAGAAATAATGCTCAAAAGATTATCGTCTTGTAATATAAGCTCTGCGAATTGCAGGCTTTTATTCAACTCAATTCCTAAGATTTAGTGTGGTGTTTGTATATTTTCTCTTAAAATCACATCTCTATTCCTTTTTGGATGATGTTCATATCCGTTCGGTTTATTTTGACTAAATATAATTGAATTAATTCTTTGTTTTAGCATATAATAATACTTATTTAGATAAACAGAAAGGCTAAACCACTACCCTAACTTGAGTTTTGACTGAGTTGTGCATTACACGAGTCTTTATGTCTGCCCATCACCTACGAAAGCAAAAGACTGTTTTGCATCTTTTGGCTTTTTTAAAAAGAAAAAATTCAAACTTATAACCTGACGTTTCATTTGATAATTTTCGAAATAGGTTGAAGCTCAACCAAAACCTTCGTTTTCTAAATATCATGAAGGATTTTGAAAAGACACCGTTAGTATTAAATTACTCTAATTTACTCCGCTACTCATATTAAAGCAGAGAAAAAAGGTTCGTTTGTTACATTCATAAATCATATTGTTAAATGTAGATTGTTATTTTCTTATAAAATGTATATATATTAAATAAGAGCAAGGTTTCGGCTAAAAAAAAAACCTGGAAAGTTGTTAGCACCAGAGGAGTAGTATAATTGCAGTTAATCATGATTATGGTGTCCCATGTCCTCTAATCCATTTTCTGAACTACTCTATAAATTATATTTGCTTCCTTGAATTGCTCATCTTCCTTTTCAAAGCTTTCAAATCTACCAGGTCAAATCATCCTAGACTTTCTCCAAAATTTACGCCGTGGAAATGAATGATAGTTAGAAATTGATGTGTATTTATTATTTGATTACAAAAACCAATTTTCCGTAATGATTTCGGGTGAATTAAGCAGATCGAAAAATTTATCCTCCCTAGTTGAAACTTGCGATGAATATAATCACAGGAAAAAAAAACTTATAATGAAAGTGGCTAAAATATCGTATATAGAAAATGAATGAACCTATTAATGTAAATTTCAGTATCATGCAATTCAGATTACATAAGTCAAGATTTCAACTATGGCCTCATATTTTTTTTATAATATTTTAAATCTAATTTTATCATATTAAATTTATTTAAGAATATGAATTACAATTATAAATTGTAAGAAAAGATAATATATTTCTTTTGAGGACTTCCCTATTTTATTGTGATATGCAGTTGAAATAAATACCCAATAACTAAATTTGTTTTATTTGCAAGTTCATCGGAGATTTTTTTTACCAGCAACATTTTTTGGGAGATTATATACTATGATAGTCATCATCATAATCATCTTACGCAAGATGTAATACGAATTAGGGTTTTAAATAATCAAAATGAGCATAGAAGCCATTGTGAACTGAAAGGATAGAAGAGTTCAATTAGTTGGCAGACCGCCATGGGAAATATAGGATATGAACCCTAAATTCCTGTCTGCGTTATTTTTGTCTATGCATACCTGCGTGAGTTTAATTTTCCTTTTTCCATTTTGAATTTGATCCTTTTCTCTGCTTTTGTTTTACCTTAGAACGGTTATAGCTTTGTTAATCTATGTTATTAAGGTTGTGTGGCTTTAAATTTCTACTTCTTCGTATAATGTCACTTAATTAAGAAATTTCTATTTCGTTTCCATTTATACGTGCACACATACATATCTTCCTTGTACTATTTGTAAGACTTGCATTATCAATTTAGGTGATCCAGATTATGCTTTCTATTCTGTGAGGTCAAATCATCCAAGATATATTCTCCGAAAGATATGCTAGCTGTGACTACTACTAAGTATTTGCTTTGTGTATTTATGATTTATAGTTAGGTCAGATCATTGTGATTCGTCAGCGCGCACTTAAAATTCTGTGGGGAGACAAATCTTAGTTAACTTGCTTATATCTATTAGGTTAGGTTTATTGATCAATTTACAAGTATACATACGCATTTTAATCATTAACAATAGCAAAATAACAATGTGATTACTGATAAAAAAATTTGACTTGATGGATATAAATTACTTGGTCTAAATTTTACCCATATATACATGTGTGTGTGCGTGTTTTTTTTTTTAATGATCTTTGTGACCCTAATCTAATCTTCATTTTCATTCTTCTTTCCTTAGAGCACAGGATCAGTCACGGTAGATTGGAAGCAATGGCAAGTGATGACCTCAGCGAATTACCTGACTCAGTGTTTGAACATATTCTATCTTTTCTTCCAACCAAACAAGCCACTCTTGTCCAAGAGGTGGAGGCATCTCCTCTCGTCACTTCCCATTCTTGACTTTGACAACTCCAACTTTTATAGCCTTCACTCTTTTCTTCAGTACGCAGATACAGTCATGAGAATAAGAGACCATTCAAAAACCGTCAAAAAGCTTCATCTCAGTCTCACATCTACACAGAGAAGCACGCCCCGTATTAAAAAATGGATTCATCTTCTTCCAGGCCTAAACTTAAGAGGTTGCCACAAATTAAGATTAATACATAGATTAAGACAGCAGTAAATTCCAAAGTTGAAAATGTTGAGATTTATGACGAAACTCTTGACAAGTTCAGTTTTGAGATGCCCTCTTGCATTTTCAACCGGAATACCATCACTGTTTTGAAACTAAGTGGGGTTACAGTAAAGACTCCTTATGTTGACTTGCCTTCCCTTAAAGTTTTGCATTTGAACAAGGTTCTATTTCCAAATGTCAAATCCTTCCAAGATCTTCTTTATGGCTGCCCTTTGCTTCAAGACTTGGCACTAAAAATTTGGGGCACAACTGATCCTCATTGGTATGAGCGCCTTTCAATTAATAAAGAAAAACTTAAAAATTTGATTTCAGCTGATGTTTCTTTCTATTCATTTACTACTTTGGAATCTTTGTCTAATGTTAAAGCACTGCGGATACATAGGGTACGTAAATTCATATTAGTGCTTTTCAATATTCTTAGATTTGACAATTAATTTTTCTCTTATATCTTGTTGCTTTCTCCCTCTTGCAGATTGGTTTTTCACCTCTCCCTGATACTACAATATTTTATAATTTAATCCACCTGGAAATAAGTTATTATTCATATAGCTCGGATGAAACAATATTGCAATGCTTGCGAAATTGCCCCAAGCTTGAAACTCTTATAATTGATAAGGTTTAATTTGTTTGTTGTTTTCAACCTTAACTTCCAAGGCCTCGAAAATGAGTTCAAACTTGCAAGATTTATTATGGGGAACGCAAGGGTCTTGGAGACCATCTCAATTCGCAGAGATAATACGTCAAAAGCGACTTCAGAGGAAGAAATAATGCTCCAGAGATTATTGTCTTGTCCAAAAAGCTCTGAGAATTGCAGGCTTTTATTCAAGTGAATTCTTAAGATTTAGTGTGGTATTGTAAAAGTCACATCCCTATTCCTTTTTGGATGGTATCCGTATGCATTTTCGGTTTATTTTGAGAAAATTCAAGTATTAATTCATTATATAGGCTAAGTTACATAAACCTTCGGACATGCCTCGCATGAAAATTACTTTCACATTTTTCAAAATTTTACGATAAATAACTTTAATTTTATGCAGATCGATAACTCCTATACTACTAGTTTTGCACTTTTGCTCAGTATTTATATATAAATGGCTTGAAGTCTAAAAAGTTTTGGGAACTTATGTTTTATATATAAGGCATTTTGTAGAAGATAATGATAAACCAGGTTTATTGACATGGCCAAATTATATTAAAGGAGTTTACAATAATGCTTCTTTAGATTAAAGAAGAGGGTAAATAACTACCCTAACTTTTGACTAAGTTGTCTTCCAAGAGTCTTCATGTACGATATTTCTACATTTTATAAAATAGGGTGTCCGTCTACTCTTACCCAAGTCTTCAATCCCTTGCCGAAGTCTTCAAGCCCTCTCCTTTTTTCTTCTTCTTTAAAACCTTGTTTCTCTTGCTGAATTGTTCGACCTTTTGTTATTCTACTATCCCACAGAAAGAGTTTGTTTAATCCTAAGGAATGCCACTTCTTAATTTATTGAGGGGTTGCAGAATATATGTTGAAAACAGTGTCCTTGAGGATGACAACCACCTGAACTGTATGCTTATTTTTCTTTACTGGTGTTGCCAATAAATTAAAGAATGAAATGTCCGCAAAGCTTCCCTAAGGTCGAAATTATATTCTTGTAATTCATAAGGTTTGTTTATTATATTTCAATATTTTAAGTGCATTTGGATGGGATGTTGGAGGAACCAACCACCTCTTGAAAAATGCGAGAGTTTTAAGGATTCTCGAAATTTTAAGTGCTTCTTGCTCCAAATGCTCGAGAGATTATCACCCAGTTGCCCCAGGGGATCTAAGAATTACGCTTTTTCTTCTCTTTAACATCCTATTACATCCACCCCTATGTATATATATTGGCTAAACCGCTAAAGTACATATACTCCTCCGATCCTAATTATAAGATCCAATTGACTTATTTGAGGAGATTAAGGAAGTAAGTTAAGTTGGTTATTTATAATAAATAAGTGTTGTCATTCCTAAAATATCCTTGCTAATTAAGTATATTGGCTAAAACTATCATTATTAGAAGGATTATCTTGGGAAAAAATGCATAAATATAAGAGACAAAATGGATTGGGGTCTTATAATTAGGATCAAATAAAAAGTCAAATGGGGTCTTATAATAAGGACGGAAGGAGTATATATATAGATGTATATCCTTTCTGACAATAGTGGATGACCATTCTTCTTATACTTAGACACCTCCTGTGAGGCACGAATCTCAAACTTGTTCTCTGTTACAAAATGTTATAACTGTATAAAAACTTATATGTTCATAAAATAGTGAAGACTTTGCTGTACATGTTCACACCACAAGTGCATGAGCCATGACAAGTAACACGGTGATGAGAAAAAAAATCATTCTTATGGAGATTTATGTAAAAATAAAGACCAAATTAAAGACAAGTGAATTTAATCAAGTTGACCCAAGCAAACTTTTGATGGGTAGAGTGAATTTTGAAAACTAGAAAGTGATGAAAATAATTTATTCTTAAACTTCAAGGTATAAAATGGACCTAGGATTATTCTTTCCCCAGTATTTCATAACTTCTAATTTATCTCCTCTCATGGATGTTCTTAATGAAGATATGTGTTAGTCTAGGATTCTTAGAGTACTTATAAAAGCTTCCTCAAGTTAAGAACAAGTGTTTAATTTCATTAGTTGTTCAATCTCTTATTATAATTAATAAAACCCAATTTTAAGCTTCCTCATACATATATAGCAGTTGTTCCAAAGCTCAATCTCTTGCTAATGTACGACTCGTAACCAAATCTTCAAATATGTCCATCACCTTACAAAGTGATTCTCGTGAAAAACTGTATTTGATAGTAGTAGGTCGAAGTTCAACTAAAACGTCAGTTTTCCTAAATATCGTGGCGGATTTTAAAAGATGCCCGTACCATTAAGTTTTTCCGGTTTAAGATATAACATTTGATCACGATTTCCTATATCTCTAAAATATAAATTATTTTCGCTTTGTTAATTTTGGTCTAAATTTGTTAATTCCTTTGCAAATTTGTTATCTAGTTACGAAAATCAATTTTCCACAATGATTTGTGGGGGATTAAGTCGATCGAAAATTTATCTTTCTTAATCAAAACTTCTAACTAAATAAACGATAACAAATTTGTTTTAGTTACGAATTCATCGCATATCAAGAAGGATATTAACAACTATTTCCCGAAAGAGACGGTCTGCAATGAGCGATAATTAATTATTTAATTATAGAATTCGCATTGAATATCAAAGTTCCAAGATTTGGGTAAACTGAATAGATTTGAATTCTAATTTTTAAATGGCCAATTTAATCATAGCTCTAAAAATATATTACTTCCAATACTTAATATAGGAAATAGTTTGACATTAAATTTGGTTCGACCGCAATACAATTTATTTCTCAAATTTATTTATCTTTTTAAAGTAGTAGTTGCATATATTAACAGTTCTATCATATGATAATTTTAGCTAATATACATGATTATTAAGGATATTCTAGAAAAGACAACACCTATTTATTACAAATAACTAAAATAATTTTCTTAATTTTTTCTAAATTAGTTAACTAAGTCTTATATTAAGGATCAAAAGTAGTATATATCTTTAATAATTTTTAAAGAAAAATTAATCTGTAAATTCCTATAGTTTATTTCAATAGTTAATTAGGTCCCTGTAATTTATTTTGTTTCAAGGAAGTCATTATAGTTTGATCTGTTGCAGGCATTTATCCTTGTGTATATCAATTGTTGATTTTAATTTGTATACATTCATGAATTTTGTGGACTCTCCTTCATTTTCACGTTATTTTAACACCACTGTATTTCTATAAATAAAATTTCATAAAATTTATCAATTAAAATGAAAATATCAAATAATAAGCACTCAGTTTAAACAAAACAAATTATACGAAACAAATTTTAATTCCCTTTTTTTTTTTTGGAAAAAAAGTGATTGCCTTAAATATATCCGGTTTCATGGGTTGCTCATCTTTCATATAGCCGACTATATTAAAATTGATGATACAAATGTTATTTAACTCCTTCATTCTTAAATATCTTTTCGCATGAAATACTTTATTCTTATGTTTTTGATGAAAACGAAATTATCATTAACCATCTAATGAAATTAGATTCGGATATCACAATGAGCACTGAATTCGGATTAGATTCCCTATATTCAGTATTTTACAATTTTGGTATGCAATAAAAGCTCGGCTCAAACAGAATTAATCAAGAAGCTATTTACCGGACTCACTACTATCCTAAACCTTGGATTTCAACTAAAACCTTCATTTCTCATACTTGCTTCCCACAGAAAAGCCTACGTTATGGCAAAATCAAAATCCCAAGTAGCATCAGGAGATAGAATTAGCAACTTACCAGACTCACTGCTTCAACACATACTCTCTCTTCTTAATACTAAAGAAGCCATTTCCACAAGCATCTTATCTAAGAGATGGACTTCACTTTGGATTGGATTGCCCACTCTTGACCTCGACGCCAAATCCTTTTGTCATCGTCGTTTTGGATCCTTCGAACGTTTCGTTGACAAAGTTCTCATCTCCGATAATGATTCCACAACCATCAAGCTACTTCGTCTCAATTGTGTTGATTATTACTATCTAGACGATCGTAAGATTGATGGTTGGTTAAAAGCAGCTATAAATCGCAAAGTCGAGCAAATAGAGCTAAGTGTTCCGTACTTGTTTCAAATTAGTGTTCCTTCTAACATATTTGTCTGCAGTGCCATTAGGGTTTTGAAATTGCATGAGGTACGTATAGATACTCCTCTCTTGGTTAATTTGCCTTCCCTTAAAGTCTTGCATTTGGAACGCGTTCGGTTTGAAGATTATAAATGTGTTGTAAAGATCTTTTCTGGATGTGCCAATGTTGAAGAACTGGTACTTAAACATATTGTTGTGCATGATCTTGAGTTCACAAACTACAGACTTCTTGGAAATTTGCTCAGACCAAATGTTCCATCTTTTCTGGGCACATTGAAGAAATTCCTGGTGGATTTCAAGGGAAAAGAAAGTGAGTTTAAGGTTGCGATGTTTATTCTCAACAATGCAAGAGATTTGAGGACCATTTCCATCACTAGTTTGAAAAGCCAAATGTTCGAAAATATATCCTTATGCGTCAGAAATAATAACTCTCAGTATCAGAAATTTATGTTGGATTTTGTACTGTTGCTATTAGATTCATAGATCTTTGTTTATGGTTTTTTTTTTTGGTTTCTTCTTCTTCTTTTTTTTTTGGTCCAATCCTAAATTTAATCACCCATAAACATATAATAATAACATTGAGTGGTATTTATCCTTTTTCTTGATATGCGTAGAGGGTTTATTAAAATTCACTTGTGTGGATATTATTAAATAATAATTATTCTTTTATTAATTTTTTTCCTTTGAGATCATGAGTAATCAAACTCCCGTCACTTGTAAGATCGGGAAATGTTTTTGCTCCACTTCCTTATTTTTATGTTTTTCCATTTTATAAGCCAACGCGGGTCTCAAAGAATACTTTGGCTTAGCGTTGGGTTAGGATTACAATTTACAAGTTTATTTTTTAAAAAGCACAATGAAGAATGCAAAAGTTTTAATCACCATATTAACAAATTATTTTATAAATTAAAGGTAGTAGCAGTTCTATTACTTATGTCCTATAAATTTTGAAATATTAGATTTTTCTTTTGGGCCAAATTGAAAAATTAGGCTCGTGTTTCCTTCCCCCCCCCCCACCCCGAAGTATTTATAATAATATCATATTACTTATTTAAATATAAGTTAAAGTTATTTATATATCTTTTATTATTTAATATTATAACAATATTATTATAATATATTAAATCTCAACCATTGGATATTAGTCCAATAATAGAGATAAACGGAGGGAAGTGGAGAGAAAACTAAATGAAAACATTCTTTTTCGGTTATTATCACCCATTAGATTTCGCATATTTGTTCCCTTTCTAAGGATTTAAATAGAAGGGATTTAGATTATATTTTTTTAATTCTTTCAACTAACAAAAATATTCTTGAACCATATATAACAGTTAAATATATGAAAAAAAAACTTAGGTCTGTTTCAGCGAATTTATAATTAAATGCTATTAAATATCAATATTTCAAAAATAAGACACATGTTTATGTTTGATCGGAAATTTTGGCATAATTGATATAAGGTAATTTGATGCAAATACACTTTACACACAGACACACACACACAGATCTTTCAGTATTTTAATTTGACTTCGATATATGACATATATCTAAAATTTTTAACTTATATTTTTTAGATAATAAAATAAGTTTTTTTTTGCTTTAACTTCCTGGCAATAAGAAAATTATCTAGAGTTTAAATTCTGCATCTGTTATAATAAATAAAGATACTATGAAAAATAAAAAAAAATATTAAAGTTTTTATAGACTACCTAAATTGAAATTGGAATTTAGTCTTATCACCAAGTAATAAGGAGCCCATGAACTAAGTGAATTCCTTTCCAAATATATCGCATTGATTTGAGCATTTGATTACGATATTTTTTGTTATCACAGCTCAACACAGGAGAAGGAAAATATTTTATAAGGTCCCGATCCCAACCAATAAAGTAAATGGGATATATTTTAAATAAATGAGATGTATGGCTCATGTGAGGTAGTTTTTCTTCTTTTCTTTAAAGCTGCCTCCTCGTAATTTTCAGTCTAGATTGTGATCCGGTTTTACGTAGGCATTTTGATCCATTCAAAAGGTATGTTTAAAATGAAAGTTCCTCTAGCGAAGGGAAATCGTGGATCCGATCTCATTTGTAATATTAGACTATTAGTATCTACCCCCTCTAATTTTTTCTTTTTTTTTAAAAAAAAGAGGTGTGCTTAAAACCTTCACACTCAATTCCTTTTTCTGTAGTTTTCATCCTCCTTTTTTGTTAGATTAAAGAATCTATGTGGCCAAGCTAGGGTTATGGCAAATTAATTAAGTGCCGGCACGCCAATGAAGAGGAAGCAAAATGATACGAAGTGATAGACTTAGTGACTTACCAGATCATTTGCTTCAACATATTCTCTCTTTTCTTCCAACCCAAGAAGCCATTGCCACAAGCCTCTTGTCCAAGAGATGGACCTCACTGTGGACTGGATCGCCCACTCTTCACTTCGATGCTTTAAACTTCTGTTCTTCTATATTCTTCGTCGAGTTTGTGGAGCATGCACTAATATTCTTCAGAAATTCCAACCACGTCCGGATCTTTCGTCTCAAATTTGGAAGTTTTGGCCTGCAGCCTGATCATAACATTATAAATTGGATTGCAACAGTGATTAATAAGCTCAAAGTTGAGGAGTTGGATCTTTCTTTTACGTCTTATTGGTTTAGTGTTCATATGTGCTCTGGGACTTTGAACAGCAGTGCGATGAGGGTTTTGAAGTTGAATGGTGTAACAGTAAGTACTGATTATTCTGTGAATTTGCCTTCCCTTGAAGCCTTGCATTTGGAAAGGGTTATATTCCCCGAATTTGGATGTTTGGTTATGCTTCTTACTGGCTGCCCATGTCTTGAAGAATTGAAACTAAATTTATTTGTTATATTTGCCACCACAAAGGCCATTAAAATTGAGAGTCTTCAACATCTTGTCTCCTCAAAGCCATCGTTTCTGGTTAGGTTAAAAAGATTCTGTTTTGATCAATTCAAAGCATCGGAAACCCAGTATCGAGTTGCAAGATTTATTATGGACAATGCGAAAGCTTTGAAGACCGTCTCCATAATTTGTCGTTCAAGTGTAAACTCCCTCCCCAATAATGCTAAAAAAGTTATCCACGTGCCCTAGAGGATCTGAGGATTATGGTGGACTTCTATTATATTCCAATTTTTAGTTCCTTTTATTATGGAAAATTGGTCATTTTGTTAAATTTCAGTCATGTGATTGAGGATAAATCATTAATACTGATAAGGAGAGGTCTTGGCAGAAGAATTAGAAGCAGAAGCAAGTAGTAGGGTTTTTGTTATTTAATACTTTGTCATATATTTTGATAATTAATCATTTCATTGTGGCACTATAATACATGCTCATGAGTCATGACTTTCTTCTTTTGTTTATTGAGACAGGCTTTGATTTGTATCGAATTCCCATCCCTCTTTTCTCTCCACTCATAATCGCTGTGTTCTGATTCAGTATTTATCATAATGACACTGTTCATTATTATGATGAAATTTGCACCTTTCAAAATTTGATCTAAATAGTCAAAATATAAAATCTCTAATCTACATTTTTTTTTCAATGACAATTTCAAATAAATGTCAATCATAGGGTTATTTTTATTTTACATGTTATATCTACTAAAATAAAAAGATTGTATCAAAAAATAAAAAATTTAAAAAACGTAAAATGATTTAAATTGAATCTATAAGACTATCCAAAATCAACCTGGATGATTCAAATAATAGCAGCACCCAGTGCTTATCTTTTTTATGAGTATAAAATGTATATATTATTAATATGATCATATGGTTATTTATTTAATTAATAGCGACTTATATTTGTATGCAAAATTATTAACTCAAAGTGAAATGTATAAAGGGGAAACCTACGTTGCAATTATTGTTTTCCATTTCAAAGACCTCTTTTCTTTGGTTATGATTATGATGTCGAAATAATAAATCGAGTTCATATAAGCATTTTGGATATATGTTGCTACTGCAATAGCGTTGCTAGCTATATTTTTTTTGTTGACTCCAAACCATTTCTTAAAGTATCAACATTAAAGAAAGAAAGTTGGAACGATGGCACCCTGTGTTTACTTGTTATTTGAAACACTCTGGTCAATAAGTAATTTTTCAGCTTTGAACTTGCGTAAGTAATTTGCTTATTCTTTTAAAGTTTACTCTGTTTTTCCTTATCTAAAAAAGTGTCGTCTTCTTTTTGTCAATTTTGAATTTGAACTAAAATTATAATTATTTTTAAAATTGATGGTCAACATATTATTTAAATTTCTATCCGAACCATCCATATTTAGTATAAAATATATGGTTGATACGAAATGTGAGCACGTTTATTATCATGCGTTAAATTAGCACCAAATCTGATGATTTTGACCCTTTATTACGATCTCTAGTGATTTTTTATTTTATCACACAGAATAAAGAGACAATATTTCATATTTATATGAAAATTTCCATCTGTTTTTTCCCCTCAGTAGCTAATTTCAATCCTCTTTCGTTTGATTATATCGCCAAGCAAGGGTTATGGCAAACTCAGTTCCGGAACGCCATGAAAGAGGAAGCGAAATAATACTAAGTGACAGACTTAGCAACTTGTCGGATGATTTGCTTCGACATATTCTCTCTTTTCTTCCAACCAAAGACGCCATTGCCACAAGCCTCTTGTCCAAGAGGTGGATGTCACTGTGGATTGGATTGCCCATTCTTCACTTCGATGATTCAAGCTTTCGTTCTTCTGAATCCTTCTTCCAGTTTGTGGAATGTGCGTTAAAATTCTTCCCCAATTTCAACCACATCCAGATCTTTCGTCTCAAAGGTAGTGGAATAAAGTTTGGCCTTCGTCCTGATAAGATTATAAGTTGGGTTAAAGAAGTGATTAATAGGCTTAATGACCTCCAAGTTGATGAACTTGAGCTTTGTTTTACATCCTGTTCTAGTATTAGGTTGGCCTCCAGCATTTTCAATTGCAGTACGTTGAAGGTTTTAAGGTTGAGAGATGTAAAAGTGGATACTCTTTCTTCTGTGAATTTGCCTTCCCTTAAGGTTTTGCATTTGGAAAGTGTTATGTTCCTAGAATTCAGATGTTTGGTAATGCTTCTTGCCGGGTGCCCACTTCTTGAGGAATTGAAACTGAGTTCATTTGCTCTATATTATTACAATCAGAGGACAAATGGCATTTATAGTCTTGAACATTATTTGGTCTCATCAAATAATCCTTCCTCGTCATTTCTCGTTACGTTAAAGAAGTTCTGTGTTGATCAATTCCAAGGATTGGGATGTCAGTATGAAGTTGTAAGATTTATTATGGAGCATGCAAAAGCTTTGAGGGCGATCTCTGTTATTTGTCGTGCAAGCGTAAACTCCTCAATGATGCTCAAAACGTTATACCCCTTGGCCACCGGATGTAAGGATTGTAGATTTCTATTTCAAGTCTTGGTTCCTCCTATGAAAAATTGGTCGGTTGTTAATTTCCAGTCATGTGATCGATCGAGGA